ATAACTGCCGGCTAGGCCTGCATCTCGGAGTTCAGACCGGATAGCTTTTCCTGAGTTCAAGCTTTCTCGGCTTCGTTCCGCTCTACGCTCCGCTCCCGTTCCGCTTGAGGAAGCCTTAGAAAAGCCCTTCCGTCCGTCAGGGCTGTCTTGACCGTTTGACCGGATTTTGGTGAAACCGTGGGACATGCATCGAAGGATCACATGGAATCAAAATGATGCCCACTGCCATATGGATGAATTATCCACCTGTTACCCAATCAGCATTACCTGGAAAGGCCCACGAGCTCTTCAGTGGCCTTTCATGGAAAGACTCAAGATATTTCTCAGGAACCGAGCCAAGCGCCAAGCCCGTCCTTTGCAGTCAGGGTACTCGAATATCTCCTCCCTGACGGTAGGCACGCAGCTGTGGCCTTGACTTAGCGGACTTAGTGGAAATTCACGAGGTGAAACGACCATGATCATGAGAGATCATGTGTGATCAATATGATATCATACGGCTATCCTATGCTATCCTTAGACCCACATTCTGCAGCGCGTGTGAATTCCCAGGGTTGATGTCTCGGTGTCGACACACGAGTCTTCAAGGCACTCCTTTTGTGCGGTGCATCGGAGTTGGGCAGGTCCAATCTCGGACACTTCGAGAACCGGTAGCCTCCAGTCTCCAACTGTGATCTAAATCTAAACAAGGGACAACCACGGAATAGACATCTGCAATCGACAGTTCTCAACTGCTCTCGAGTTCTCAACTTGCTTGACCGGGACTGACACATCTGCACTCGACATGTTCCGACCTCCCCTTTGCACTCTACGTGGGTCTCCGGTCGGTCTCGGGTCAGTGTCAGTTGTACGCGGTGCCCGCCACTCTCCATCACTCAGCTCGATGTTCGCTCAGCGCTCACTCGCTTGACTCGCTCGGCGCATGTAAACATAGGGCAAATAGCCCTCCTGAGCCGACAGCGACAATTACTTTTACTGGTGTCAAGGTTTGTACTTACAGTATTAGCAAGGAGTATTCGGTTGGAGACCATTGCTCTTGCATTTGGGCCATTAGGGCTTTCCAAGTTCGGCAAGCACACCTCACGCCAGTCCATCTCCACTGGCACTTCTCCACGCCTGAAACCGAACCGATAGTGAAAAAATAAAAACGATAGAAAAAATAAATGAATATTCTAATAAAATCAATTTCTTTCATCTTGATTTTCATGACGACTTTGATGTCGCTGTTTTAAGCCAATCAGACTGTGCCATTTGCCAGATCCACCCAATGAAGGTAAGGAGAGGGACAGCTTTCTGCCCATCTTGGAGTCGGTGAACGAAATCTGAAAAAGCACATTGACACATCAAGGAGATCAAATCCTTGCGGTAGCCACCTTGATGAGTTGCATTCAGCAGCAAACCGGCAAACGACAAAAAGAAAAGCTGCTCTTAGTGGTGCAACATCGGTCTCCCAACTCCGCTGAGCGTAGCTGAATCTACCCTATCCAAGGTGAGTGCACCATGGAGGAAAAGCGGCGCCTCATGGTCAGTTTGGAGATGCCACTCGCCTGGAACGGCAAACGCCAAAGACCTTTTTACAACATAGGGCCATAGGGGATGGACACAGAGTCCCAGCGCTGCATCACGATCAGTTTCACAAGACTCGGCAGGTACGGTATGCGAAGGATCAAGCCTCCAGCTCCGCCAATGTCACCATCCGCGCGCCTGCAGACTGGAGGAGATATAAGCAAATGCTTAAAGAAACGATGTGGATTCCTTATTCGCCCACAAGCTACTAGTAACAAGTGCATCGCTACTAGTAACAAGTGCCTTACTAGTAGTAAGAAAAAAGCATTCCTTATTTGCCCACAAGCTACTAGTAACAAGTGCATCGCTACTAGTAACAAGTGCCTTACTAGTAGTAAGAAAAAAAGTATTCCTTATTTGCCCACAAGCTACTAGTAACAAGTGCATCGCTACTAGTAACAAGTGCCTTACTAGTAGTAAGAAAAAAAGCATTCCTTATTTGCCCACAAGCTACTAGTAACAAGTGCATCGCTACTAGTAACAAGTGCCTTACTAGTAGTAAGAAAAAACGCATTCCTCATTTGCCCACAAGATACTAGTAACAAGTGCATCGCTACTAGTAACAAGTGCCCCACTAGTAGTAAGAAAAAAAGCATTCCTTATTTGCCCACAAGCTACTAGTAACAAGTGCATCGCTACTAGTAACAAGTGCCTTACTAGTAGTAAGAAAAAAAGCGTTCCTTATTGCACATTCCCCACGGTTCCGGAAAAAACGCATCGGAAAATGTGTTCGGCCCTTCAGCCTGGCGCCGCACGCTGAACAAAGGCCTGGCAAGTGATGTTGAAGACGCAAGAAACGTTCTTGTTGGTTTGAAAACGTTTGGGGCGTCCTTTGATCAGGAAACGAAGACTCAAACTCTTTCGACTCCTCTCTGCTCCCTCAAAATGCCCAAGAACTTCACATCCGACCGCTAGTAGATCGCAGGTGAAATGCAATCCCTCGCACCCGCATTTGTTTATGATGCCTCTGTGACCTGCTGTGAGGTCTCGTCTGAGAAGCACAAGTTGTTCCAAAAGACCTCAAACCAGGTCGGACTGAGGGCAGTCGGCATAAAAGAACCACACATCTGAAAAGGGGTGCTGAAGTCAGGTTAGACAAAATCTCAAAAGCGCAATGCAGCACATTGAATTTCTCTGAGAGCCCATGTCTTGTTCTCTGGTTCCTCTGGTGTGTTCTTCAACAAAGTTCCAAACGCACGCGCTTCCAGAGTTTGATTCTTGAGTCCGCCAGCAACCTGCTCATGTTCCAAAGGTGCTTGTTTCGTGTTTGCTTAAGAGGACAATCTTAAGGCAGCTGGGGCATGCATGGCCCAAGTACAATCAGGAGCTGAGCCAAATGTGTTCTCTCTCGTGTCCCTCAACTTGCGGCGGTGAAGGGCATCCTGTAGCTAAGCAGCTAGTCCCTAAATGCTTTGCACCTTGTTCCAAATTTGAATGTGTCACTTGTGTGTCCCTTGTGTGCTCAGCTTTGGGTGGTGACTTGAAATCGGGAGCCCACTGAGTGTCGTGCCAGGTCTGTGTTGTTCAAGAGGTCCAAATGATTCAAAACGTCGCCCAGTCGAAAGGTCTCAGCAAAACGTCGCCCACTGGATTCCTTGTTTCTAATAGCTTCCTTGTTACTACTAGAGGCACTTGTTACTAGTAGCGATGCACTTGTTACTAGTAGCGATGCCCTTGTTTCTAATGTTCGGAAATGTCTCTAAACATTGATCCATACCAGAACCAGATCAAAAGGGATGCAAAAACCGATCCCAGACAATCGTTGCTCATGTTTTTTTGGCGTACTGTGGAGCTACACGGTGGATGCTTGCTGTCAGTGACAATGGAGTTTGGTGGATTGCACTTTCGAAGCCAGCAAATATGTTTCAGCAAGTGAGTTTCCTGAGAATCAGAACATGTTCATTGATTCATTGAACCCATTGAACATTGAAGCCATTGAACCCAATTAGGACTGGTCAGCTGGGTCCAGTTGAAAGTACTGGTCGAAGGGTGTGTCCCAGTTGCCAAGGGTTTCAATGAACAACCAGAAGGAACGCCATATGGGACCTACCAAAATGAGTTTGGGTTAATTTTGTCCGATTCCAACACCTGACCTGAGGTCCCCACTGTTGCCGTTCCAGCCTAGATAGGAAAGAAAAAGATGTGAAAGAGTCGAAGTCGAAACTCCTCGAAACGGCTCGTGCAACTCGTGCTCGACTTCTGCCTTCGCCGATCTGAGGGCTTTCTCGTGCCGCTCCTGCACCACCTGGACGGCCGTCTTTCGGATCCGATGGTGTCAGGGTTTCTCATTTCGGTTTTACTCTTTCTCCACTTGAAGCGTTTAGTTTCTCAAGTGTTTAGTTACTTTTTGATTCTCACTTTGTTCACCTTCTCGAGCTCACTGGACCCGAATGTCGGAGATATGAAACCACCAAAACCAGATCTCTTTTGTCGTCACAGCATCCCCAGAGTTCAGGAGTCTCACACCAGTTGCGGCTCTGAATGAAGGACGACGTTTTTCTCCGACGGCGTGACGGCAGTTGGCGAGAATGGTGGAGAGAATGTCACATTTCATGCTCTGCCAGCGACCTGCACAATATTCCAAACTGCACAAGTTTCACAAGTTCTTGGCCACAACATATTCCGCAAAACAAGTCGTTGTCAATCCCCGGGACGGTGTGCAAGCCTGTCCGATATCGATTGGCAATCGAGAACTTCATCCCAGCCTCAACTCCTCGGCTCTCATTGAAGCCTTCCTGACGAAATGAGCGACAAGTCAGGAAAACAAGAGCAAGTTCGAAGGAAAACAGTTCATCATGGCGTGAGTCGCGTACCTGACCTTAGTCATTCATTTCGTGTAAGAGACGGAGTCCTTGAACACGGAGCTTCTACTCGCACTTCAAACGTGAAAAAAAAACAAAGCAGCTAGCACTTCCAAATGAAAAACAGCTCCAACTTTTGGCGGCAACAGAAAGCCTAACTTGATCAAGTCTTGATTGGAAGCGTTTCAAACGACCGCTGCGGCTGGCGGCCAAAGAGTGCCGCCAAGGTGTCAAGATGTCAATGTGTCAATGAGATCTCAACTATTGTTCTTCTGCATATTTTTGTGATGTTTGTTGCTTTTAATACATCCTAAGACCTTGACCTGAGGTTAGGTATCCTACGGTCTCCTAGGGAATGGCCTGGGCAGCCCAAAGGACAAAGCTGCCATGGCCTGAGCCTTGGCCGTTCACTTGAAGCTCCAGTCAGTTCGTCAGTTCCAGAAGGCTTGAAAGCACAAGAGTCACAAGAGGGAAGTAGGTCAGCGCGTATCCCACATGCAAGTGCTCTTCACCAATCTGAAGAGTGAATAAGCTGCTTCCACTGCGCCCAGGGAAGCCTCTACTGAAACATGCATAGCTCCTGGACCTCCTTGAGCAGGAAGAAGGAACAAGGACGCTACTAGGAGCAAAGGGCATCGCTACTAGGAGCAAGGACGCTACTAGGGGCTCCTGGCCTTACTACTAGGAGCAAGAAGCTATTAGAAACAAGAATTCTAATTAGAAGCTATTAAAAACACGCATCACAAGGAACATCAACCCTTCTGACTTTCTGGCCAATGTCAAGGAAGACACCACCTGCCGAGACTGACACGACCAAATTGGAGACTCGGAGCTGTTCCGGATCCGTTCCGAGCACGAAACAAACGTTGTATACCTACAATTGCTTCACTTCATACATTTTTTCTGTCCTCATGAGGTGCTAACTAAGACATACCACATACAGAGCAGATTGCATTTCAAAGACCAGCACATACCAAACAAAAAGGTAGCTCCTTTCTTGAAAGCCTTCCTATGTATAGACTCCGTCTTGCGGAAATCATCATCTTTTGAGTTTGGCATTTTGCTGTGTTGGCCATTTCAACTCCCAAGCCGATTTCGCTGGGCCAGTGTTTTGGAGATGTGGCATGTATAGCTTTCTGTACTATCGGGACTTGATACAGGCTCGTTCCGGTGCACAGCATGCTTGGATCCTAGTAGCGATGCCCTTTGTTCCTAGTAGCGTCCTTGCTCCTAGTAGCAAGGCCAGGAGCCCCTAGTAGCGTCCTTGCTCCATTCGGAGCGACGCCCTTTTAGCTGTTTTTGAGGCTTTTAGCGTTCTCAGATTGGTCTTCACACTTTTCTGCCTGCCGTGGCCAGGGTCGGTGGCTTCATTTGGGGCTATAGACTCCGTCTACTTTACTTTCCTGATTCGAAGCCTTATGTTGCACAAATATTTGCTTCGACAAGCTTTCTCTAAGCTTTCAAATTGGTCCAGATCCTAATGACAGAGGTGCAAAATGCAAAAGACCCTTTGACTCTTTGACCCTCCACACCGCGTGTCTTCGTATGCCTTCTTCGGGATTGCGTCTATTGCGAATTCGTGCTTGGTGAATGATTGCAAATATACCAGAGCTCATCGCTGATAAATCCAATATACTCATGGAGGATACCTGAGCGCTCACCTGTTTGTGATTTCACCGCAACGATGTAGCATTCGTGAGGTGTTCGTGCTTGCCTGAAAAGGACCAAGCCAAAACACGGTATTAAACAAAAAGGTCGAAAGGTTTCACAAAAAACAGTTAGAACATTTACTCAAACATGGGCAGATAGCCTTCGTAGAACAATTATTTTGAAAGGCCTTAAGCTTTAAGGAACTTCTGAAGAAATGCAACGCTTTCGTCCCCTGTGCAACTGCAATCCGTACCTCTAGGAGCAATGCGTGAGATGGTGTGCATCCCTCGCCTCGAGCGAAAGTAGGCTAATAGATGCAAATAGCCTTTTGCAGGCTATAGGGCTCGGACAAACCACACGAACTGTGTTGCAAAGAGTACCCGAAAGTGTCGTTAAAAGTTTAGAAAAGTGGCGACAGTGCGAGCAACATACCCATGCGTGTACCTTCCAGGGATATGCTCCAAGAAGGCCCATTCGGCCACTTGGCGCTCAGAGGAAAATCAGCGAAAAAGCTGCAAAAAGATCTAAGGGTCAGAAGAACGGGTGTCGACACCAGAAGCTAGATATAAATGACATAAACATCCCACTCCAAAGATGTCTGAGGGGGTTGTAAAGACTCAGAAAGTAAAGTTACTTAAACCCGTTTGATCCGTCAACACCCATCCGTCAACACCCTGTTAGATGTCCCTCCCTTTGGATGCTTTGTCGCAACATCAGGAGCAACGGTTAAATCCGGTCGATCACAAAATGGGTTTAGTGTTTAGGGAGTCCAGCGATGATTCACATATATACCTCCAAGGCTAGCAGCCAGGAGGTTTTGTCTCAACAACTTAGATCAAGGTTTGAAGAAAAACTGAAAAGAGAACAAAGAGAAAAGACAAAAAACCTTCCGTTGGATGCCATCGCTCTTAGGTTGGGGGCCATCGCCAGGCACTAGTATTCGGATTCGATTAGAATTTACTTTGCCTCGTTTTACTTCGAAGCCTTCCACTGCTCCAAGCTCTTGGGGCGCCGTGCACTGTTATCTCCCCGTAGGTACGAAGCGGGTCACAATGATCCACACCTCTGTCGTGGACGGATCCAAATCTCTAGGGTCAAAGAGATCCGGGAATTTCAATTCATCTCCACACAAAGTAATAAGAACATGCCACCGGTGTTTGCCAATGTCCTTTCAGTTTGAAAGTTCCCAACAAGAACGGAAGAATTGAACGAATCAAACAATCGTTCTTCTGTCGTTCTTCTGCCGTTCACCTCTGCTAAGATCTAAGATGTGTTTTTTCGCCGACTTCCAAGTGACTTCCATTCTCGACTCTCAGCGCCGGCAGCTGCCAGTACGTCCAAAGGATGGCCTATCAGCTCAAGCGAAATCAGAAAGACGCATAGAGTCTTAGAGAGTCATAGGGGCTCAGAAAGCCATCTTTGGATTGATACGCGGCAAAAGAAAGCCGCACAAAGACACATAGAAAGTTGACACAAAAGAAAGTGCCATACTTACAGCCTCATGTGACCGATCAAGTGTCACGTGACATCACTTCGACGGACCAGAGAAAGCATCCGAAAGGCCCAACAGCGACGTTGTACAAGTGTGTGGACTCTTGGTGCTGACAGTCTGAGATGCATTTTCTGAAAGGAAGATTACACACCCAAATAGCACGATCCACTAGCCCCATTTCCCTTCGCAGAATCCGAATCCGCACCAGCAGTGGCACGGCCAAGCCGACGTTCCGCAGGGTCAACGGAGGGCCCGGCCACGCCGCATGGAGATCGTCTAGGAAGCTCCTGAGGGCGGCACTGCTCAGGTGTCACAAAAAATGACGGACAACCACAGAATGTTGTGTCGCTCATTTGTTGCTGTCGGTTTTCTTATGACAATTTCAACTGTGGAAAACATCATTGCAGGACTAGCAGACTAGCACTCATTGATCCCTGCCAGCATAAGCGGCACGTGAGCACAAACAGCGATCTACATCGCATTTTCCGACGGCAAACACATTTAGATGGTCTTTGTGGGTTGAGGAGACCATCAACACAAAAAAGAAGAACTGAAATGGTGACACGTGGCATTCTCTGCAACACACTAAACCTTGCACAACCTCATCACAGTTTCAAGTCCACAAAAACCTCAAGCAAGGGACACGTCACTGTGCAAAGACCTGCCACTGTCGCTGAAATTGACCTTTAGGATCAGGGCATTTTGCCCAGAACTAGTGGTCTTTGCCAGTTCTGCAGGGTGTCTGTCAAATTGTCAGTGAGGCTAGGAATCGCATGGCTTCTGGGCAGGATGCGAAGAGCCTCTGGCCTAAACGGCAACAAAAGTAACACGGCCAATAAGGGCCGAAGACACCATGCAGGTGGCAGAAGACACACAGAGGATATCAGGAGATATCAGGTGTTTCCTGTGCACTCTTTACACGCAAGTTGTTCAAAGACTGCTGCAAGAGTGTGGACACATGCCCTTTCACATACTTCACAACCACTCCCACGAGCGATGCCAGGGAAAGCTTCGCAAGTGCATTTTGCACTTTTGAGGGAAGGGCCTTTGGTTGATGGTGAACTGCACGTAGGAGCAATTCGCGCTCAAGCAACTGAATCATGTCCGCAGCTTCAAAAAGCTGGTTCTTCTCAATGCACTGGACATGTGATATGTCCCAAGGAGATCCAGTTGATGCTTCCAAGGCACGACGTGTGTACTTGTCGCAAGAGCTCGGCCGGTTCGAGTGAAATGGCAATAGCCGCAGTCGCCCAAAGTGCATACACAAGCGACACGAATGCATGGACGCCGACAGAAGTGAGGGTGGCCAATGCTGCCTTCGTTTACGAACTTTGGCACAAGAGCCCTTGCTGTCGTTGCCTCCCTCAAGTCACTCATATCTGCATCTTCAAATCGCTGCTTGGCAGCTGCTTCAGCTCTGGCCGATAATCTTGCAACCTCGTCGTGCCCACACGGTCCCTTGGTCTATCAACAACAAGTTACACCATAAAAGTATCTAGAATATGGAAGCAAAAGACAGCAAGCTGCCCCTCCAGATCGTAATCTGCTTCACCCACCATTAACTTTAAGAAAGTCAAGACAACCTCTTTTTTGGTGTCGTTTGACTTGTGCGGACTCTTCCCCACCTGAATTTTCAGTGACACGTCGTCTTGGTGCTCTTCCCCAACGGGCGGGCTGCTTCGAGAGCGTCGCTCTGAAGACTCAAAAGTTCCTAGTAGATTCCTTTGCTAGTAATTAGAATTCCAATTAAATTATTTTTGTTACTACTAGTAAGGCACCTGTTACTACTAGCGTGGCACTTGTTCCTAGTCGCTCTGAAGACTCCACTTTCTCATCGATGAAGGTCAAATGGTAGCGAAAGGCCGGCGCGACGGAAGTTGACCCGTCCGGAGCGGTCAGGGTGGCTAAAGTAAAGCCGAAAAACTCACCACATGCTTTGTATCCAAAAAGACTCCTCACTCAGAACTTTCTGAAAATGCATATATAGGCAGGATTTTAATTATCAAGAGCCACATAACTCAGAACTAAAACAAACAATCCTCCTAAGTTGCTTCCCACATGGACCAAACAGACAACTTGCATGATTTGATCCTCTGGAGACACGAAGTCCCTCCACTTTTAGCAATCAAGTTTTATGGCAAAAGAGAAGAATCAGTCAACCAGCAAGACTCACATCCCGTGCACCTCACGTCGTCTAAGCAGCCATTCGCTTCACCTTATCTGCATGGCGTGCGAGTACTCACTCTGCAAACATACCTGTGTCCCATAGCTCCCCTCTCAAACGACTCAGTTTTGATTCGTACAAACTGTCAAAACATCTTAAGATTCAGTGTGCTTCAAACACTGATCTCAAGAATATCTTTTGGCAAAGTGCCACACAAGCAAGCTTCAAGGGGGCGGAGGGCAGCTGCACAGGGTCATTAGCACTTCAAAAATCCGAATCGGACCTATATAGAGCCTACTGACTCTTGACTCTTAACTAAAACCTGTCTATGTGACCATTGTATGACCAAGAGAAATGTCACTCACCAAATATGTGAGACTCAGAACCTTGACCCGTCATGTATAGCCCCAAAAATCTTCAATACACTGTGTTTGTTTCGATCTTTTGAATGCTTAAAATCTTAGGACTGCTTCTTCATGTCATTGAGAACATCATTTCCCAAATGTCCATGCTCTTAGAGCTCTGGGAGTCTCTGAGAGCAGAGCGCGTCACCGTCTTTGTCATGGTTCACATCGCGGAGAACGTTTCTCTTCGGTTTGTTACTCAAAGGTTCTAGCGACGTAGCGAGAAGAATATGTCCTAAGAAACAAGCAGAAGTCACACAGGTTTGGGCAAAACACGCATGTGCATCCATTCATCAATTTGTGAAGGTACTTGGTGAAAGCTCACTGTACGCACTGGCAAACAATTGCAAACAGCAACATCGGTTTTAACATGAGTTGTTCTGAGTTTCTGAGTTCAAAAAGGCTGCGTAATGGGGCCAGGCAATCACGGCGCCGACGAACATGAACGTTGCCTGTGCCAACTGCTCACCTTCAAGACCACATGCAAATGTCGGCTGGCGACCGAACATACTTCATCTAGACCTCTAATGGGTCTTAATGTTAGTCCTGGATTTGGGTTACGACAGTTACGACAGGACTTGGAACCAATGAGATCATCCTGGTTACTGTTGTCAAGATTTGTCAAGTGGTTCTCCAGTGTCTGCACTGCATGGTTGTTTCATGAAAGCCCATCACTGGATATGTTTCATGAAAGTGTTCATGTTTCCATGTTTCTCTGCTTCTGCAGAGTCTGCGCCTCCCGAGCCCCCGAGCCCTGAAGGCGGCTGAGGGTGTGGCAAATCCAGCAACGTTTGTCCATCCTGAAAAAGCTCAGATAGAACCTCAGTGCTTGTTACTTAATTCGACGAAGAGACAAGCGGAGCTTGAGAAGAAGTGCGAATTGATATACATTACACACGTGGGAGATTCAAGATCTATAGTCCAACAGACAGAGGTAATGTGAAATCTGAAAGTCGCAAACCGGCGAAATAGTGGTTGTGTCGGCAAGAACCGTTTGGAAGGTGCACCACATCATCACTCCTTTGCGGTGTTCACTTTCTGTTCAAACCTCTCGGGTACTTATTCTTCTCCAATCAGCAAGCTCTCGAAATGACCCAATTGAGCTCTTGATGTTCACAGAGTGTTTGCAGAAACCTTCGCAACAAAAAACCTGGAAACGCAGAATGCACAATACAGATTGCGGGTATGTTGGTCTGAGATTTCTTGGCGGCGGCGCTGCTCTCCCTGCACGGCTTTTTCAGCTTGCCAGTTTCACTCTACATCGGCACTAACTGTCACTAACCAATTTACCAATGCAAGGCCACAGGATTTTTCATTCTTCGACCTAAATTGATGCGATGAGTTTTCTCTGCCAGGGTCCCTCCGCCCACACCCAGCCCTCGCAAATCCATCACAGCCATCGCAGCCCCACCGGTCCAGCATCAAGCCCACACCAGCTCAAAGGTTCATAGCACAGAGCGAGCCATGAGTTTGTGCCGTGACATTGTCATCCCCCAGCACAGGTATGACCAGCTCTGCATGGGAAGTCGCACCAGCCACGATTGCTCCATGCTGCCTGCTACACACCCCGGTTTTGGACACCACGGGGCAAGAAGTCTGACGTCGCTCGAGCTCACGCCCTCGAGGTCTGGCATCAAGGGGATTACCCCAAGAGCTCATTACCGCGATGGAGGCCAATTTCTAATGGGTTGGAGGCCATCGCTACTAGGGTGGAGGTCTGCTTTTGCATTTGGGGCTCAGCTCGCGACCCCCTTTGCCAGTGGAGGTGGACGGCAGACGGTCGAGCGATGGCTTCGTGCAAAGCTGGACAAACTTCAAACCTCCGATCGGAGCGGAGGGACGGTGGCATGGGCACTTAGCCCAGAACATGAAACGGTTCATTCGGTTGAGGGTGGAGGTTTGGGGGGAAAGGCGGTCAAGAAAGCCTGGCGGCACCAACACCGCATGAGATGACCAAGCCGTCAGGAGCAATTCAAGACGATGGTGCCTGGTGGTGCTGATGCATGGAAACCACCAAGGCCTTGCATCGCTCCTGGAGGGCCCGCGACCGTGCTTTCGCAGCGCGCGTCCGCTAGCTGAACCGAGCCAAGCTCTGCGCCACCACCCCTACGTGCACAGAGCATGTGCTGGGCATGTGAGTTTAGGGCAAAGCTTGGAACGGATCAGCGTAGCGAAGCAGAGCCCAAGCACGGCCGCGGCACCCCAAGGTGCGGAGTAAGTGCCAAGCAAGTCTGACCGTCCCAGAGCCACGCAAGTGCTGAAGATCTGTTTATAGAAATCTCATGGCCGTGCAAACACTTTTCATTCTATGTACACTGTTGTGCAAATTCAACTAAACCTGGAGATGGATGACTGTAGCTATTCATATGTGGAACCCCAAAAGATCAAACCATAACGACCTAGGGTAAACAATAAAGGATGTGAGCTGCGCATTGGATTTGAGGTTCACATGAAATCTTGGTCTGGAAGATGTCTCTTCTGACACAGCAATCTTTGCTAGATTTCAGCTCAATCATTGAATATCCTAGTCGTCAGGCTTCAAACAATCGTTAGAGTCTTAGAGAAGCTCGTAAGGATCAAAACATCCAAGCTCTCAGGTGGCTTCGGCGAGCAAAAGCCTTCGCATCCTTTTGCAACTTGGTCTTCTGTCCAATCCGGTGAGTCTCGTTGTTCGGCGTTCCAAACTGACAACGGCAAAGGCCAAACTCGATTCAAGGTCAAACTCTGGCACTGGAGCACCCATTTGCTGCTCAAAGAAAGTGTTCAACTCATTTTCTTCTCTTGGCAGCTTTCACTGGTTGTGGTTGTTCAGTCTTGCGAGATCACCAAAACGCCTTGCTCCTCTCGGCTGTGGGCCAGTGACCTCGCAAAAGTCAAAGTGAGATCGAATCGAATCCTCATGACAGGTTGGTCTGGCGGGTCCTAGCTGAACGGTAAAATTGGGTACAAAAAGGGACCTCTTCTCGACGGGGCGGTGAGTTGCGCAGTCCTCTCACGCTACCAAAGTCTTAAGAAATTTTATCCAGCCACTTTGAGATGAATTAGATAGCAAAACACGCAGAAATAAACCAGCAAAAAATCATGAAACATGTTGAAATATCAAAGCGCAGGAAGCCTAGGATCTTGATATGTGTGGACTTCTGAAGACATCAGACCACATAGTGCCTCCAACTCGTGGAAGTTGTCTCAGGACTTCAGCCGTCTCCCGATTCGTCTGACTTCAGTTGACAGCAGCCCGCGAAGGCATTGCCACCGACGTCCTCGACGCCATCAACGTCGCAGCGCCGCAGCTCGCGACAGCCGGAGAAGGCGTAGGGCCCGATGTACTGCACAGAGCGCGGGAGCTCCACGCCTGCGACGTTACGACACGCCTCGTGTCGCAGACTTCACATACGCACACTCATATACGCGTAATCACACTCATAGTACGAAACATTGCCAGCCCATTGCATTTCTTGAGATGTTGGCACCTAGTGATTCATTTTCCTCTATATAACCTTCCCAAATTTGATGAGGTCAAAACTCCCTTGTACTGCGAAATCTGCCTTCTTCTTTCTTTCAGCTATCACTGAAAAATCATCGCTCGTAGCCTCCAAAGATCAATAGAAACCGTTTGCAAACTTAGATCGACCTCTCCGAACAAGTGACCGAAACAACTCTGTCATTCCGAGCTGCTGCGCAAAGACGTGCACTTGGCAAAGGCTGCCGCTCCGATCTCCGTCAGCGCCGACCCGAGCCCGATCGTCGCCAAGGAGTCGCAGCTGGCGAAGGCGTAGTCGCCAATGCGTGCAACGCCCACCGGGACATCCTCAGTGACACTTGTTACTAGTAGCTTCTTGTTACTACTAGTAAGGCACCTGTTACTAGTAGCGATGCACTTGTTACTAGTAGCTTCTTGTTACTACTAGTAAGGCACTTGTTACTAGTAGCGATGCACTTGTTACTACTAGCTTCTTGTTACTACTAGTAAGGCACCTGTTACTAGTAGCGATGCACTTGTTACTACTAGCTTCTTGTTACTACTGTTCGATTTCGGAAGCAAAAAAGCAAGAATGCATCTTCCCTTACCAGCTAGCGAATGCCCACGCGCACGTGATGGTACTGTAGGGAAAAGAGACTAAAAACAGATCGATGAAAAGTGCACTGGTGAAATAAACCAATGGCAACTTCAAAAGATCTTTTGCAAACTCTCATCAAGTAGCCAGGCTTTCCAAGGATGAATTGGAAAAACATGCGACCCCAAGGTCCTTCAGCGCAGTCGGCAGCTTCACACATTTCAAGGAGCTGCAGCCAGCGAAGGCATATTCACCAATATGAGTCATGCAATCAGGAAAGGTCACACTTTCCAGTGAAGTACAGCCTCTAAAGCTGCTTCCTTTGCTCTCGATTTGATCGACCAAATTAAGTTAGGCTACAGAGTGCAATTTGACCCAGCTTTGGGGTTCATGAATGAGCTGCTGCTGCTGACGCTTGCTTGTCTAGGTCCATGCTTGTTGAATGAAGGTGCTTCTCTTAGCTTTAGACTAGTTGAACAGAGATGTGGGCATCCCAAAAAACAAACACGGATTATCATAGAACCTTGCTCAATTTCAAGTGCAGGCATCTCCCAATCTGTGTTGCTCCATTGGGAAGCACCACATGCTTCAATGATCTGCAGCCCATGAAAGCGAAATCCCCCAGTTGTCGCACTGAATGAGGAATGCTCAACGTGACCAATGTGCTGCACTGAGAAAAGGCGAAGGGTCCAATCTCCGTCACTGAGTCTGGAATCTTCAGCTCCGCGAAGGAGCTGCACCCTGCGGACACCGAGTTCGGCCAGAGATCAAGCCGAATCTACTGGACCTAGCGGACCTAGCGGCTACCCGTTCCTTTTCATAGGTCAAACGAAACTTTAGGGATTGCTTTGAATGAAATGCACTTGGATCAGCAATCCAGCAAGCACACACACGGGTAATTTTGTTATGTAACTATATATTTGATACTATTTGCATTCAATGAAAAACAAATCCCCCACCCTGCCTGAGAAGCTGTTGTAGGAAATGCAGCTCACATTTGTGGGAATCAAGATATCCTTTAATGAGCTACAGTTCTCAAAAGCGCTTTCATCGATGAAACTCACAGACCCCATAGAGATCCTTTCCAAGGAGATACAACCAGCAAAGCTATGGTGTCCAATTCGACTCACAGAGAGAGGGAGAGTGACACTGGCGAGAGATCGACAATCCCGAAAGGCTTCTGCTCCAACATCAGTGATCCCGTCGGGAATGGACACCATCACAAGCGAGCCGCACGATTTGAAGGCTTTCTCTGTGATTTGTCTGGCTGTGCCTACGCAGGGCAACTTGCATCAATGTACAGTACACAAAAAGGCCTAAAAACAAAGGGAATTATGAGTTCATCATGCTGCATGCTTGACTTGACAGCGTTCATATACGCATCGTACGCACCATCTACCAAATAAAGAGGGAATACCCAAAAGAAACGAGTCCACAGCATGGCAGATCAGCACGGTTAGATAGATGCAACATTTCAAGGGCATGTTGGCATACCAGGCATACCCTTTATCCCTTCTTGTAGTGCGTCGAACAACTGGTAGGACTGCAACAGTGACAGGATATAGTGTGGGATGAGGACATGTTCCAAGCACCCCTTCCTGGTTCCATACACAAAGGAGAGTGATGAGCTCTGAAGAATCTCGTTAGGTATGGCAGACCTCCTCAGTAGGTTCTCCTTGGGTGTCTAATGGTTGTCTTTTGGCTACCTCTAAATTGTGTCTAATAGCGATGGCCTCCAACCTACTAGCGATGGCCTCTACCCTAGTAACGATGGCTTCTACCCTAGTAACGATGGCCTCCACCCTAGAAGCGATGGCCTCCAACCTACTAGCGCTACCTCTAAACTCTAAACCCATCTAATGATTCTATGATTCTAATCTGCAACCATTTTGATCTGCCTGGTAGCGTCACAGCCTTCAGCTTTTCAGGCAACACTTTCTTCGATGCAGCCTCCTGTTGAGTCTCACACTCCACCCAATCGATGCTGAACAAGAGTTGAACCGTCGTACCTGACGATTCATCGCTGGCGACCGAGGTTGATAAAAGTGCAACACCAAAGAAAAGCACGGTCCCATGGAAAAGAAATGTTGAGTCTACGACTATAACTTTAACAACTAAACTTTGCTAGAACATAGCCGCATAGCCTATAGCTATCAAAGGAATTAGGAAGATAAAGTTCCAAGTTGAAACAGTTGCAGTCAGCATGCGCGTGATCGTGGACAAAGGAAATTGGCAAAGCAGTCAGGGGGAAAATGTGGTCCGTAAAGCGACGCTTTCGGAACGTCTGCGGGGTATTTATCGGTATCACGGCCACTTGCTCCACGAAGGTGTCTGGGAGTGATTGGGGAAAATCTACGAAGGAATGGAATCGGAGAAATGAGACATGCTTACTAGTAGCTTCTAGCTAGTAGCGATGCCCTTTGTTACTAGTAGCTTCTTGCTCCTAGTAGTAATGCCGAGCTACTAGTAGCTTCTTGTCAAGCAAAAACATATGGGAAGTGCATCCGAATCCGAAAGCATCGATTTTGATTGCCTGGACTTACTTTTGGTATGCCTGGCGGCTGCAGTCTGCCCAAAGATCTGGAGATGGTTGAAGTCTAAATTCATCTAGAACAGAAATTGTCTTTTGAAACTTCCGCCTACCAGCTCTGGTGGAGATTCCCGTGGATATTTCTAATTCATTCCGTAATTGTGCATGGGACTGTCAAGGTATCAAGAACAACTCCAGCCAGATTTTGGCTCACATTTAAGGCAATTGTGGCCCAACCTGAAATGATTCCCTCTTCGGCAAAAGTCCTCTTGTCGTCAGAAAGCGTCTGACCCTCCAAAATGAGTTCCACAATGGTCACCCTTCGCACAGCTTCCACGTCACAGTCCTCCAGGGATTTCTCTACGTCTCATCGATTTTGGGGTGTCTGTTCTGTCCATAACGGCCCTTGAACGACATAGGAACTGGCAGAAGCACCAAACCCAGCAGGGGCAAAGCAAGTCTAGTGATTACAGTTACCACTATAGTAGGTAACCAGTGGTTCACAAGACTAAAACCATAGTGCTTGCAACTGGTATCCACGTTGGAAGTGTTCTTTTAAACCCGCTCACCTGAGATCCTTGGAGCTGATGCTTGAACTCACCAATGGTCATCGCTGCCGGCACCTCATAAACCTTGACGTCGCCCGTCAGTTGTTGCACAAAAACTTGCAGCAAATCCATTGCATTATGAGGCTATCCGAACGTGCTGGCAACTTGATCCAAAGCATGAAGCGGGAAGAAGATTGACAAAAGCAAGGATCTTCCACTATACAATGAAAAAACATGTTTGGGTTCTTGAGGTTAAAAAGGTTCTCCTTGCGCCGGGCCATTTCAATATTTCAATATGCTCTGGGCATCCCATCAATTCAATTCACCCAATAGGTTGAAGCCACGGACCACTGGTTTACTCTCAAGAATCAACAGGATGCTGACTACGGTTTTGGGTCGTTGCGTATTGACCTACAACCGCGTAACCCTCGGCCATCCCAATACAACCTTTAGTTCAGAAAACCCGATAGTAGCAAGGACGCTATTAGGTGGAGGCCATCGCTATTAGGTCGGAGGCCATCGCTACTAGGAACAAGAAGCTACTAGTAAAAATATGTCCAGTCTTTGTTCCGTTCTTCTGTTCCTTTAGTTATGGGTTCTCCCAGTTCTGAGCCCAAATCCTCAAGACTGGGGACTTGTTCCAGGCATGTGTTTCCCGGCGCTGTGTATTTCGACATACCGGCGTATTCCCCTTTTTTCTTCGTTCCTTGTCCTGACCGTCCTCTTAGCTTCCTTCCTTCCTTCCTTCCTTCCTTCCTTCCTTCCTTGTTGCCTTTGTTTGTCATGGCCTTCTGCCGAACTGTCGCCGTCATGCTACCCAACCACGAAGGAACCCGCTGGTGGAAAGACATCGCTGATAGGCCAGTCTAGCGCCAATCCTTGGGCCCCAAAGCTCCCCAGATATCTTGTTACTAGTAGCGATGCACCTTGCTATTAGCAGCTTCTTGTTATCTTTCGTCTTTGCTCCACCAAGTTCACCGGAGAGTTTCCCGAACTGTAGTGGCGTTTGCTGGTTCAACTCGACCATGTGCCAGCTTAAAGTGGGTCTCGGGTCCCCGACACAGCCCAAGGAGAAAATGTCCATGGCAGCCTGAGAGCGATCGGGTTGAGAAACAGATCCCGACAATGACAAAACTTTCTGCTCTCCATTGACTCAGTGCTAGTACCACCCCCAACCCAAGTCCATCCAGTGTTTCTTCACGTGGCATGTTTGCTCGTTCGTTCCTGGTCAAATCTGGGGAATAGAGATTGGGAACAAACGACTTCTAGTTGTAAAATAGACTTTCACTTAAAGGGCTTTCCCGAAAACTTTCGATGACACCATGCTGGGCGTACATATTCCAGATATATACCCTCGATGGTGCAAGGTTGGGATGGGAACAAACTGGGCTCTTTGCTGTCCTCACATAGGCACCAACGTGGGCATGACCACAAGCATATTGTAGGAAAACGTAGCAGTGTGATATAGTGTGATCATTGAAGCGGTTCTCTTTTCCACAGTCGCTTCACACCCGCACTGGCAACTGCTGCGGGCACAAACAGAAGCTAGATATGAAGACGACCCAGCCACTGTCAGGCAGCTAGGACAAAGCGTGGACAATGCAGCTGCGTATTTTCAGGACTAAGACAGCCCCGGACTGCACCGTGCACGGGACACAGATCTTCGACTCATAGGCCTCCACCCTTGTTTTCCTGGTGAACACAGTGAACATGGTGAACTGGAAAGAGAGTTCCGACACAACGAACGTTGCCGAATGCTAGTTCCTATCGCGAGAGGGTTGAGGATGAGGTTGAAGAGCTTTGAAGGGAAATGAGGCTCCGAAAGTCACCAAGTTGGTCAAACTGGCTGATGTTTTGCAATAATTCACACAAGCAAACACAGGAGGCTCCTTTCCAAAATTCCTTTGGGGAACCTGAGGACGCAACCAGCTCTCTGGAGAAGTGCCCTCGGGAAGTGCCACCACCTTCCAAGATGCATGCAGAATGATCAGCAGTCTGCAGTGCCTGCAGTATGCATCCCACTAAAAATGACCATCTTTGTCCAAGCAGGTGGATTGGGGTGTCATTCAATCAGCATCAAAGGAAATTAATCTCCTCCCTCCGACACCATGTGTGTGAGAGCAACATTTGGTCACTTCCGATAATGAGCCTCTGCCAAAGCGCTCCGGGGCCAGGTAACAGCGGTGGCGGTTCCGGTCGGATTCGAAGAAGAAGGAAAACCTCAGAGAATGCATGTCGAGATGTTTTGTGACGTCCATTTGCATAACGGCCAATTGTGGGGGTGCCCTGTGTGTGGAGGTGTTCTTTGGATATCGTGGTCTGCATCTGTACAGAGATCTCAGCCAAATTGCATCTGCGTGGCCACAAATGGCATATAGGCGACAAAAACCCACATGCTGTAGAACGACCACGTCCAGTGGTCAACTTTAGTCAACTTGTTAGCTGTTGAAACCACGAATGTCAAACAGCGCGGAGCCCATCGGGCCAGCGATGAATCCGAAAATGCGACCACAGCGCATGAGCCGAGGCAGGAAGTGTGATCAACACAGACAGGCAAAGAGCCCAGAAAGTATCGATCAGGGGTGGCTCCAGAGAGTAAGAATTCAGTTTGCTATCTGGGGAAGAAATGAGAACCAAACTTCGGCAGCGAGCGTTTCAAACGTCGGCACGCCAAATCATCAGGTCAGAAATCGGATCTTCGAAAAGGCGCTTTTCTGCACTGGGCCACCCCCACTCGCTGGGATCATCCTCACTCGACTTTCGGCCGAAAGTCTTCGAGTTTTGAAAAGGAAACAACTAAAGTAAAACTTCTGAATGCATTAGAAGCAACTTGCGAAGCAACTTGTGAATTAAAACACAAAACAATCGAAAATTCGATTGGTTCTTTGCCGGGATCCTTTGGCAATCTTGATTGGTCAAAGTCGTATGTCACCAGGAGGTGACTTTCACACATATCCAATGCCAAAGGCATTCGCAAAATGTTGCAAAGACGCTAAAACAATTCACACTAAATAGTGGCAAGACACGTTCATTGGCATCTCTTGCAGTTTCAAGGCTAGTCATTTTAATTTGAACAGGAACAGGTTTGACTCGAATCAAGCATATACTATATAAGTACTTTGTTCTTTTCCATGAATCCCGTTGTGAGACTGATTCAACTGCGATGCATGAAAGGATTTCCGGCAGGTTGCTCCTCCAAATGTCATGGAGCCTGCTTCAGCTCTTTGTGGATGTTGTCAAAGTGTCAACCAAATCACTAAAGGAGTTCTTGTTTGCCTTCAAAACACATATAGCTTATAACTCATGTTGTTGTTTGTGTCCCTATCTGTTCCCCGTAGCTGTCGCATGCAGTCGTCCTGCGGGAGCATGAGCGGCTTGAAGGTGGCAAAGTCCGTCAAAATTACGTGAGACCAAGACCTGAAAAAAGAATGGCTTCCAAAAAGGGTTGCATTGTCCTATTATTGTTTGGAAAAAGAGAACTAAAGTATTGCTTCTGTCTCTTGATTTTTTGTTATGGTTATATTTACTTTTGAGGTCGACCTCAAAACCTTTCTTGTGCTCCTTCTTTGCCTCTGCCCTTTATTTCTTGTCTGTGTTTTCATTGTTCTGGCCCCCGACCGATCCTAATAAAAAAGTCCCTAGAAAAGCCATGCAATGCGATGGGATCAGGGAACGGATCCAGACAAACAAAAGTTGTGATCAAACCCTGGCTCCAGTCACAGGCTTCCAGGAGAAAGTTGCGACGAGGGCCTGGTGCTAAGAGAAGAAGTAAGAACCCGTTCAGCTTTCAGCCGTCTGGAGAATGACTATTACTGTGTTCCTGTCTCTTATTACTAGTCTTATTGTGTTTTCTGTTGTTTTCCTTTCTTCTTTTCTTTCTTTCTGCCTGTCTTTCCGTTCTTTCAGTAAATCAAGTGAAAGATAAAGTGGGATTGTGGGATTTGCCTTTACCGGGCAGGATGCGAATGACTGACTTGAGGCCAATGATTGAATCATGTCCTATCAAGGGAATGCTCTGGATTGTATTTCCCAACGGCTGGTCTATCCAGAGTTCCCCCCCCAAAGGCTACACTACACTAATGACCAAAATATGCGATGTTCCTGTCCCATTGTTAATATGCACAACAACCCGTTTGTGAATGCCAAGAACAGCCTACCTCGTTCAAAACAGACAAAGCCATGGGACGAAATAAAGAAGTTCTCCGTCTTCAAGTCGCCGTGTGCCACCTAAAGACTGCGGGGCTGGCCAGGGCAAATTGCATGCTGCTTCCTTCGAATTTACATCGAACCCGAGTTAGTGATGTTGTTCAAATGCTGAGGGAGCGCAGGGTCCTAACGGGGTCCTAGGCTTTTCTTTCGAGGGGGCAAAACCTTGGTGTCCCGACTCCAGCAGAGTGAGCCTGGCAAAGAGCTGCCAAAGCCTGACGCTTTGCCATCGATGTTTCGCGTTGGCACTGCACTTGCACAGTCTGGTGACGTCAAAACGCCAGCCCCGAACGTAGCGTCCTTGCTCCTTGTAGCGATGCCCTTTGCTCCTAGTGGCTTCTTGTTACTAGTAGTGAGGCCGGGAGTCCCCAGTGGCGGACATTGTTCCTAGTACCAGGAGCCCCGTTCGTAGCTTGCCTGGAAGGCGAGCCATTTCTTCTCCACAGAGGACAAGAAGGGCCTTGTGTGGATCCGGTCGTTTAGGTTTCGCCTCAGTGCTTCAGTCAGCTGCGGCCTTCACTTTCAGGACCATCGAGAAGACATATATACAGTAATGGAGTTGATCAACTTAGTGACAAGAGTGTTTAATGCTCTCTGACAAGCATTGGGTCTTCGATGTAACCAACAAAAGGACGGTTTTAAGATAGGGTTTCTCATTGCAGAGTCTCCATAAGTCTATTTTGGAAAAACAGCTGTCATTGAGACCAACTCGTTCTGCCTGCAGACTTGACCTTCCATGTGAACATCCGAGCGTCAGGAAGTGCTGTCTCAGCAGTACGGAAGATTGGTTGGAGATCTCCATGGCCTGGCAGAAAAATGATGTTCTTTTTAAATTCAGATAAACTGGAGGCCATCGCTATTACAGTAGGTTGGCTTGATTTCCCTGGCACCAAAGAATTCCCTCTTAAGGAGATTGAGGTTTGAGATTTTAGGAACATTCAGGAACATCCCTCCGATAACACAGGAGTCTGAACTTTCTTTGAGGCTACAAGCTTGACAGCTTAACCTCCCTCAATGTGTTCTTTCATCTTGTTGCTAGTAGTAACAAGTGCCACGCTAGTAGAAACAGGTGCCACGCTAGTAGTAACAAGAAGCTAGTAGAAACGGTAGTGATGATGACGGCAGTTCTCCCTCGTCCCACCTGGTAGGGCAAAACGTTGGGATGCCGCCAGGGCGAGCGTAGTGCATCGCGCACCTGCGTTGAGTGCGAACTTGGCCTAAGGCACTCTCAGCCATCGGATGTGGTGAAAGAGCATTTTCTAAGCGATGGCCTGGCGGCCTCCAACCTAAAGCATTTACAAAGTGAGAAAACAAAGTCTGCAAAAGTTGAAACAAAGCTGCAACAGCAAGCGTTCATTATACACACAAGTCTGACAGCTAACCAGGTGTACGTCGGGAATCTCAATGTGATGCCAAGTCTTAGCCTATGTCTGCATTGTTTCATCGCACGGACGAGTAGACACCCAGCGCCACAACACGAACAACCACTGACTGCTCTGAGGCTACCCCTGTCATCTCCCTGAGGAGACGCCGTGTGCGCCTGATGGATCCTCCGTTGGAGCTCCCGCAAATCCGGTTGTCCCTCCCTGCGAAGCCAAGCCGGCCACAACCAAAACAGCAACAGGATGGACGGGTTCTGAGCAACATACGTTTGGTCGTGTGTAGCAGTGAAACTTCTAATCCTTCTCCCTCCCCCTCTCCCTCTCCCTCTCCCTCTCCCTTTCCCTCTCCGTCTCCTTCTCCTTCTCCTTCTTCTCCTTCTCCTTCTCCTTCTCCTTCTCCTTCTCCTTCTCCTTCTCCATCTCCTTCTTATTCTTCTTCTTTTCTTCTGCTTCTCCTTCTGCTGGTTTTGAATGGAAATGGACATGCTGCTCTGTGTTGTCCTTTGTTTGGCCAAGAAGCGGCTATTTCCTCCGGATGATAACACGGGGCCACGTTCCTAGGTCCATCCATCACATCACCAAACCGCCCGTGAGAACCACATCACTTCCAACGGCAGAAACAAGTGCCACGCTAGTAGTAACAGGTGCCACGCTAGTAGTAACAAGTGCCACGCTTCTAGGAACAAGTGCCTTACTAGTAGTAACAAGAAGCTATTAGAAACAAGTGCATCGCCTGTGGATGAAGAGCTTCACCACCACATCACCCTCGCTCTCATGGACACAACGCATGACCTTAAACCTCAGCGATGGACCCCAAATTGGTGAAAGCACGCAGTTCCAACTTCCAGGATTCTTTCCAAAAGAAATTGAAAAAGGTCATATGATTGAAAGTCAAGGATTCAAGGTATATATGCTCTAAACTCATTCTTGAGCAAGTATTGATTTACAATTATGGGGCATGTCGAAGGAGAACCATGGGCATTAGGCATTAGGCTCAAGAGCTCTCACTAAGGGTGAACTGCATCGCATGCCTGTTTTAAGCCCCCTGTTGGGTGTGGAGGTCTCGTTATACCTGGGCTTTCACTTGTTGCTATCGGCCGAATTGTTTGCCATGCACACCACATACGCCAATGGGTATAGATTGTGAACATCGCTACTGAATATGAATGCTACAATATGTGGGGCTGATTTTGTCGCAATCTTCACTTGAACTCTGTGGTCAGTGCTTGTTGTCATGCAATCAGGTTGCCCATGATGCTTGCTGTGCTCTAGGCCAAGCAGAATTCTACCCTGAATGCAGGGTCTAGCCATGCGAAGGACTGCCCTCTTAAAGCCACCACTGTACACAGATACCAGACTATGTTGTGATAGCTTTCGCATGGACTGTGACCGCCAAAGCAAGGCTCCTCGCTGCCGAGCTGTATCGATGCAGACTTGCATGGACAATTGTCGAAGAGCCTTCTGTCAACAGAGCCACAGCCACACCTGCCTTTAGTTCCTGTTACAAACTCGGCCATGTAGCACCGGGATATGAAAGTATGTCTCTGCAAAAGCACGCCCTTTCAACCAAATTCGTTTGTGTCACTCACCGGAGATGCTCGGAGAGCCACATGTGCTTTTCAACCGATGGCTCAAAGCATTGTTTGAGGCCATCGAAACACCTGGCTAGCTGAAAACCACTTGCCAGCTCCTATCTGGATACCTTAGATGCCTATCTTTGATCTGGGCATCTTATTGTATTGATTCTTTGGCATCACAGGCTGATCAAACTCTCAAATACAGACCGGCAACGGGTATCTGGGGGCAGGATGCCCGTAAGCTCACTCATCAAAGTAGAACCTTCTGCAGGATGACTCTACCTTTTGCAAGCTTATGAAGTGCTGTCCCAAATCGTTGAACATCAAGGATTGATCGTCAGCATCTGTTTCGAAAAACATACTCTACTTTGAGCATCCCCACCCAACCAACTGTTGTCTCCACCCAACCAACTTTTTTTGATGTGCATCTCAAGAGTACACGAATTGTGTCATTGGGTCAGGCCGCTCAAAAATATCCCAGGACTGGTGAGGGCTAGACATGGCACAACACACCGAAACCACTGGGCTTCCCCAGCAGTTTGTAGCTGCCCAAGACATCTTGGTATGCGAAGCCTTGGTACCTAGAGAGGTTGAAGGCCATCGCTACTAGGGTGGAGGCCATCTCTATCAGGTTGCAGGCCATAGCTAGTAGGTTGGAGGTTATCGTTATTAGAAACAAAGAAAGCCTTGTTACCTAGACAGGTCGAAAGGATAACAAGCCTTCACTATCTCTTAAGATCATGCCAAACCTCTTGAAAGCTTGGCACAATCCCAGTCCTCTGGCTATGAATTTCGCAAGCACCCATGATTCTGTCCGAAATTCTACAAATGCCATCAGCCACAAGCCATCGCAAGAAAACGCAGGCCACGGTGGAAGGTGCATGCAGCCTTTTTGTTCCAGTCACGCGCACGTGTCCATGACCGAGTTTGATAGGCAGCCCTCGCTGTGATTCGCCATCTGGACTTTGCACTGTCTAAAAGACTGGTGGGTTTGAAGCATCAAATGCCAGGCTCCAACAGCTCTAAGAACCCCAAACAGGTCAACGCCGATTGAAGTCAGAATATCTTGCTTCCCCCCACATGATGGATGTGAACAACTAAGTTTGGGTTCCTGATTCAGAAAAAAACTTGGGAAATCAGTGAATCAGCTAGTCTCACCGGAAGGAACGAACGTGTGGGTCTAAGTGTGGGTCTACTTAGTCTACTTGTGTCCAAGTGGGCAAATCACAGGAACGAACGCGGAGCGGATTTCATTTGGGCCTGCGGTTGGACTGAGAGTTGATGGTTGCAACTCGATCCTACTTAGGGATATAATGAACTGGCAAGAGGACTACATGGTAGACCGGTAGACCCTATGGACCATTGAAGAGATTCATTTCAGGTGTTGTTCCCTCACCCTATGGTCCTATGCTTCAAACTCAGATGCTTCCCGAAGCTAAAGTGTATCTGTTACGGAAGGGTCTCCTGGACTTGAGGAATGGTGAGGGGATGCTCTTGGGTAGCTTCTTGCTACTAGTAGCGATGCCCCTGCTACTAGTAGCTTCTTGCTAGTGTAGCTGGAATGCAAGATGTCCTGGCTATACGTGGCTCGGCATGTAATCTTTTGCCCTTTGTAACCTGTTGGCATGACAAGCGGCTCATGCCACTGTCCCACAAGCCCATGCCCTCATGCCCTGCACACATTGGCACGTTCTGCACTCAGATGAGGTCGGCCACGTTCATGGGCATCTCATCAATCTGTGTGGAATAGAACCTTGGCTGAAACTATGTGGGGGTTGGTTGAAGACTGACGAACAGTAAAGAAGAAGCTAGAAGCTATATGAAGCTATGTCTGCAAAACATGTTGGCAGTTGCTCCTATAGGTATGATTGGGACACCAAGAATTGTAGAAATCCGACCGGGAAACCTTGGAGGTCCGGCTCAAAGCTTGTCGCCATCTCAGGGCCTACATTCCTCTTGGGAAAGCAGTACAGAATACCATTGGACGAGTAACAAGGCACCTTACTACTAGTAACAAGAAGCTACCAGTAGCTCCTGGCATTACTACTAGTAGCAAGAAGCTACTAGTACAAAAACTCCTAAAGTGGACCACACAGCGAACCACACAAATCTTGAACACTACTTGAGGTAGAATCAGAGTCTGCTTGAGGGTCATTCGTTTGACACACTAAAAGCAAAGAACTGGGCAAGACCGATGTTTCCCAAGGTGACAAAGGGCTTCTACAGAAAGAATTTTCTGAGGGAAATACGTCGAAGGATGGCATCTCCGTCCAAGTCCGGAATTGCCACCAAGGAGCTGCTCGATATCACGGAGGATTCGGATGTCGTCGTTCTTCACCTGGCTTCGTTCGCTTCGGATCTCTTTTCGAAGCAAAACTGGCAGGACATGTTCCTCATCTCAAAATGTCCTGAGAGTTGATGTTTGTCACCAGTTCACTTGCACCTATCATATCTTTCCTGCCTAGCCAACTGCTTGGGTTTGGGGTAGGGCTAGATGCTCACCGAAAGATGTATTGACTTTCGAGATTTGGCGGAGCACCAACATGGAAAAACGGCTTCTCTTTTTATCACACAAGTCGTCGAAAACTTCCAAAAGTGGTTCAAACGGAACATCTGCGCTTTCCTCCATGCTTGGTCACCGTAGACTCCATAGACCGCATTGCTGGGGGTCCAGGCGAAGTTGATGGCGACGCCCTTTCGACCAAAACGCCCAGAGCGTCCGATGCGGTGGATGTAGAGCCTCAGCGAGAACACAAAAAGGTGAGAGGAAAGTGGAAGGAGAAGCTTCTTGTTCCTAGTAGTAGCCAGGAGCTCCTAGTAGCATCCTTGGTACTAGTAGGAAAGTGGCAAAGGAGAATGGAAAACAACTTGGAAGTGTCGCTCTGAGAACCGAGTCCGATGAGTTGTCTTTTGGTATCTCCTTCACCGAGAACGAGCCCAACTTCTGCTACAAGGCGATGCCCTTTGCCCCTAGTAGCTTCTTGCTACTAGTAGTAAGGCCAGGAGCCCCTAGTAGCGATGCCCTTTGCTGTAAAGCGCCGGTTGGATGTAAATTGTGTCGCCACACAGTGCCTTCCCACAGCGGTCTTCGACGATTGGACAGAGAATCGCCCACGAAGCCCGCTCCGCCCTCGCCCGACTCAAAGCCCACCCGTTCTGTGTGCCACACTCTCGGTTGTTGGGAAGGTCATAGCAAATCACCAAAGACACCTGGCTTCCGCTTGGAATTTGTGAACACTTCTGTTGACACAACTCCAAGATGAGCCATTTGTGTGACAGAGTCCCAAAATGGGCTGCTCATGAATCTAACAGGTCGCTAGGTGGTAGAACATGTGGGAAGTGATCCTCTTCCAAATCCCTCACTCAAATGATTGGTGTTGAATATATGACGTGACCATTTGACAGGGTCCAAGCTTGTTGCGACCGAATGCCCTGGATCCTACCCATGTGGCCCTCACGTGTTCTTTCCGACTGGCCTGCTGCACATCCAAACCACGACCCCACAAGTCCGTGGAGATCAAGACGCGGCTGGTGCCACTTCGGAACCTCAAGAAGCTGCAAGCTACATGACACAGCTCCATGCAGGCGTGCCCGTGAGTGCTTCAATGTGACATCGTCCAAGTCTCTGAGAGTTGATCTCTATCATTCGGATCTCAGTTGCAACGAACTGTAGTCTGGGCATTCCGGACTGCTGCATAATGGCGTCACGCTCTTTCTGAGGCATGTCCTGGTGTTGTGGGTGAAGCATATCTTTTCTCTCAAGAATAACCAATCCTACTGTTGCAGAAAGAAAGCCTACAAAATGACCTCCAAATTTTGTGTGCTATGTAGACCATTTTTGAGCGAATGCGGATCCCAGACACCTACATGGCATTTTCATTTCGTGAAGCGTTGATTGATGAACCCTACCATTCTCTGGGTACTTTGGCCAGCTCTACGGATTCCACATACTTCCAGTTGTTCGCCACAAGGCGGATCTCGCCACGTGTTCCGACGAGCAAAATGGTCAGATTCTCTGAGGCTTCAACGCCATGGATGGAGGCCACGGTAAAGTTGGCATCTCTCATCTTCTGCCTCAAAACGTGAGGACCGACTGTCAGAGACCGATGACTTGAACAGACCAGAGAAATACCGGTCAAGGACTTGGGGTTCATCTGGTGTTCCAGCACTGATTGCTGCACTGCGCACTGCGCAGCTGTAAACACTTGAGGTTTTAGACCGACGTCGACAAGAGCTTTCTTCCACTTGCAACTGACCAGACCTTTCTTCGACTTGACTCAAAAGGACCTTCCCTTCGACCCTTCTCTTCCGCCCAACTCTGAGGCGAGAGACGTCAACCAGTCCACCTTCTGCTTGGTGTTGCAGAAGATCACCGCCTGCGGGCGGGCGAAGGGCTGCGGGTGGCGTTGAAGTCCGCAGTTTGAAGAGTTCCTCACTTTCCAATTGAACGAACATTGTTTTGAAGTCCGCGGTTTTGGAGAGTTCGCATCGATTAAACATTGTTGTTTGAATACTTCCACAAAATCAAGAGACCTCCAGAGGAGGAGCCTCAAAAAATATCTTTGACGGGACTGCAGCTGCTTTCTCCACCTCATGACACAAATGAAACAAAATCTTCAGAAGCTAGTAGAAACAAGTGCCACGCTACTAGTGACAAGTGCCCTACTAGTAGTAACAAGAAGCTACTAGGAACAAGGTTGGTTTTTTCTTTTAAGCCTCGACACCCTGTGCGACTTTGCGACACCCTCTCCCACGCCCCACACGCCTGCGTGATGGTCAAAGTGTCGTAGAGGTCACACAAGGTATCGAACTTCCATTGCTCTCGCTCCACGGCCACGAAGAACCTCCACACGGCTTGAGCTGCAGACAGAAAGTGTTCTTATGTGTCTTTCTTCTTTCTTCTCTTCGTTTGCCCTTACTCCCTTACTTAATGAAGTAGACGCCGATTTAAGTTAAGTAAAGCACAGTGGACGCAGGATAGTTCACGCTTCTTCATCGAAGCTTCCTTGAAGAAGCAAGCGCTCGCACTATTCATATTTGGTTCCTAGCTGATCTCAAAAGCACTGCGTCGAGGATTCTATCTTAGGTGCAGGATTTCTTTCCTCAAAAGTAGTAGAGTGGATCAAACAGAAAAAGGAAAGGATGGTGAGATGCGGTGAGATGCTCCAACATATACCACTGGATCATGTAGCACATTGCAAATGATTGGGATAGCGTAGATAGCACGCTGTGGTGGCATCGCATCAAACTGAGTCCGAAAGCATGCCATTGTTCCAATTCTAATTAAATTACATCTTAAATCGAATTCGATTTAATTTTGTTGTCTAATAGCTTCTTGTTACTAGTAGTATGGACAGGAGCCCCTAGTAGCGATGCCCTTTGCTCCTAGTAGCGATGCCCTAGTAGCGATGCCATTGATTGCTTGATCTTTTGTGTAAGGAGTCCAGCATCGAATCTCTCCGGCCGAGCAGCTGCTTAATACCTTCCAAGGTCAGCTCATCTCGCTTCACCAAGACCTCAGCCAAACCCCACCGTGCTACTGCGCATTGGGAAAAAGACGCCTTTTGGGAATGGTCCTGATAGTCAGACACGTGAAGACACATGTGGACACTGAACTTGTCTCATCAGTTTGTCAAAGGCACTGAGTCAAACAACTTGCACTGGTCTGGCAAAGAACCTCTTCATGTTATCTGCTGCAACTTTAACAGACAAGAAGGAGCCCATTCTTGCAAAAGCCCAAGTCACTTCTACGTAGTGGCCACAGTAGTCATCCCAGATTGGACCCCTTGTCACTGCAGACTATGCTGCGCGTACCACTGCAGTAACCCAAATGGGCTAAAGTCAACAACTTCTGCGAGAGGAAATAAGTGGGGCAGGGCCATCGATGTCCAAGCTTGGCTTCGCTTGGCTTCCGGACTCTGAATGGATTGTTCATGAACCTCAGGATTGGTGTCAAAAACAAGATTTTGAGAACGAAGGTCTGCGGAGCTCATCCAAAGATGGGTTGGTATTTGCCGCATATGCCCCAGATGGGAAAAGGGACAGGAATAGGCTGTAGGTGCTGACGGATGTGCAGTCTCTTTTCTGCGATTCATGCAAATCACCAGGTGCCCGGGCTTGTGTGTCATCTCAAGCACTTCATGGGGCATGGTGGCAGACACCAAAACCACCTCGTGCAAGGGCCAGGTGCTTAGCGCGTTGGTATGCTTGGTCTCAACTGTTCGAAAAAGGTTTTGGGCCAATCCCATGCCTATCTAACTAAGGCGGTTTGAGAGCCACTTTGCAGCAGGACAGTCATGTCATGTTCTGCTGTTCATTTGCCACCATCAGTAGATCTACGAGTGATTCTGCTTCAGCACGGAAACCCCAATATTGAATCAAAGCTTCTGAAAGACCTAGAAATCATAGGAAAGTGTGTTTTGTTTCGCAACCTGCTCTGGATCGATCGCTTCAGATCTCTTGCTTCTCGCACGCCTGTGTTGAAGGAGGTAGGTATCGGTAGATATCATAGACCTGGCGGTCAACATGGGAGGTGGAGCAGAAGAACGTTAGAGTCGAGCTCTTTGGGTTCCTACAAGCTAGCAACTGCAGGTTCCAACTTCAGATGTTCAACTGCCCATGCACCACCAACTGACCAATAGAACAAGAAGGCCGCAAGGACAAGAAGGTCCTCCTCAAATCCAAGTCTACTTTGCCGGTCCTTGCTCTTGGAACCGAAAAGCACTAATGGTGTCTGACAGAGTGCATGAGAGTGCATGCGGATCCAGATGGGTCAGAAGGAAAGCTTCAACGGCGGTAGGCTGTGCCAGACTAAATAACAATTCTGTCCATGGCAGGCAATAGCGCCAGTAAGCACCACGGCACCAGCGGTCCGGGTGAAGCGTCGCGCCTGCTCCTTGAAGCCTCGGTTCAGCATCTCATCCGCCTCGTCCAGGACTAACATCTTGATCTCAGCGGTTGGTGCTGGTCAAGTACAGCGATTGATGGCGGGGATTCATGACCGTTTTGCGGGGAAAGTGAGAACCTTGAAATATGCAAGGAGGTTCAGGGGGGTTCGGTCTTGGAAGGAGCATCCGCAATTTCTTGTTTAAAATCTATATATATATATATCGATATGTCACTGAAACGATTGATGAAATAGTATTTGAATACATGCCATTATTGCCATAGTAATCAACTGCAATACCATAAAGCAAAACGATCTATTTCTCCAAGATCAGTCACAAATTTAGATTATGTTATATAGCTGATTGTTCTTGTTACTATTGGGATTGGTAAGAGAGACGCAGGTCCTCGACTGGAGACACATTGCCTTCTTTAAAGAGCTCTCAGAAACACCAATCAGTCCGCTCACGTCACACTTGCTTTTTTCACTCGCATTTCTTGCTCCCTGGCTGGACGCTCAAGGAATAGGTGGCAGTCAGCAGCAGCAAAGAGCTGTCGTAAAGCGCGTGACCTGTTTGTTTCCATGAGATGTGTGAGGATCGGAATGCCAACACCTTCCACTTTCCGGATCACCTGCTCACGATCGGAACCACTCAGTAAGAAAAATACCACAGGCTAAGGAATTGGACTCTTTAGTGTTGAGCATTGCGTTTCTTGTGGAGGCGTTATCTGCCTCCAAGGGTTGCGACGCCGTGGTCGCAGAGCAGCATCTCTGAGAAAACAACCGGCATCAGCAGCAAGACGCCTCCACAATTCAGTGGATGAGTGGGAGCGAAGGTCGTTGTAGGTTGTTGTAGGTTGGTAGGTGCAAGCAAGGTGCAAGCAAGTGAGTCTTGGAGAACTTGTGGCGCTATTCTCTGTTGTAGATGAAGACCAATGGACCGATGGACGACATGAAGCTTCTAGCTTCACATCTTGCAGGAATTCCCTCGCACCGTCTTCACGACTCGGTTTTGGAGCGATCACGAAAACATTGTGTCCCCAACTGCCAACGATCGCTTCAATCGCTTCAGCAGCTAAGCCTATGCTGATCACCGGCCATCCATCACAGAGCCGCTGCGGCGCCTTCCAAACAGTCAACATAACTGAGCAAAAGACAGGAAATTTATTGGATATTGGAGTGCCACCACAACCAACGGCACACCATCTTAGGCATCAAGATCCTGTGCCATTGGAGATTGTACTTCGAAAGGATGGAAACACAACTATTTCGATCAGTACACGATAGCTACGCAGCTACACCGAAGACAATATTCCAAGGTTCAAGAAAATGTTGCATGCTTAAAATATCTTCGAGATGGTTGAGAGGCTCTACCTTTCCAAAGAGCTTCAAATCGTTTGTCGCACAAAAAAAAGCATCCGAGTTAGGTGGCCAATGTGAGGATTCGATCAGAGTCTGCGGTGCAAACGGGCCTGGGGGTTGATGAGGATCAACCGGGGGAGGCAAATCCACAAGTTCAACACAAGTTGAACTGCGCCAAAGGCGAACTGGAGGGGGACGTAAAGCACGAAGAGCAACATGGACCTGAACTGGAAAAGAATGCCCGTCCGTCAGTGCAGTGTTTACAAAAGCTTCTGTCTGGATGATCCAGATTCATTTAGCAGGGAAGTTGGTGGACATCGGTTGCACTCCCTTTTGCCAACTGCAGCATTCACCCTTCGAAAGACTTGCTCGAGCCCGACCGTCCTCTTTGGATGTGGATCCCACACCAGGCCAAACAGGTTTGCGTGGCTTTCTTTGGCCAAGATACGTGCCGTGAAAGAGCATGCAAAGGCTGACAGGGATCCCGTGCACATATCCTGCCAGGCGCCACAAAAGATCACAGTGGGCACTGCTGAGCATGGGCAATGTCGCCAGAAGGGGATACGGTCAGATCTGTACGTCAACACGAACTTTGAATGATAGACCTTTCAGTCTTCCGGTACCCCTGCGGTCCCTCAATACCCAAATTGAATAGACAGCTTTAATGTCTGCCATCAAGGACCGATCACTTCATGACCCACAGCATCTCCTACGAAGGGCCCGATCGCCAAAAAGCTGCTGATGCCCAGCAGCACTGCCATCGCCACGGGTGGTGATGCATGCTGCGGCCGCAAAGTGTCGAGGAACTTGGCATCCAAACCACCGAAGAAGCCTGGCCGAATGGTAGACACCGCGACGACAGGGCACGCGGTGGGTGGTGAACGTGTGAAGTCCCTGCAGTTTGCTGTGCATATGTTTGAATGTCCGTTTAGGAGCATGTCCGTTCGTGAGTCCTTGATTGCACGAGAAAACCCCTTGATATGGCATGAGGTATTTTTGCTACCTGCCAAGTTGAGCCAAGAACTATTATTGATGGTAACAGTAACAAGAAAGGCAGGTAGTTGAAAGAAGGAGGTTGGGTCTCACCTTCATGCCCACGACCCTATCTAGATGTACCGCAGAGCGGCTTTAAATTGTTTCCACATGTTCTTGTTGGGGTAGTTGACATTCCCAAAGCGCTGTGAGCTCTGCTCCACCCGCTCCAACCTGAAGTAAGGATTCTGCACATGTTTGGATGCTATTTACCGCGCCCCCCCCGCGACGCCGAAGCGTTGCAGGCTTAAAAGCTGTTTCATACGGTATCCACCACCCCAGTAACCTTTAGTTTGGTGTTTAGAGACTGTTCTTTAAGTTACAAGAAGCTAGTAGTAACAAGTGCATCGCTACTAGTAACAGGTGCCTTACTAGTAGCAATAAGAAGCTAGTAGTAACAAGTGCATCGCTACTAGTAACAGGTGCCTT